CCCGCCATGGGGAGGGCGGGGGATTATACGAACGCAGTGGGCTTGGTTAGTGCATGGTTTACAGTATCGTGTGGGCTCAGTTGGGTTCATGAGCGGCCCTGTTCACATGATACGCTCACCCGTAATTAACTGGGGCTTGCGTTAGGTAGTCCCCTGATTTCTCCGCCAATGGAGGTTACATACAATAAAACAACTCGAGGGGCTTATTTTGCGCAGTATACTAAACTAAAACGTGGTTGCTGTAATCTTTTCCTAAATCAATGTTGACATTGGTTTAGCCAGTTCAACTTGATAATCATGATTTATCCTCATCCACAGACAGCAGCTGTGTGAACCCACCTGCCCCATACGGTTCTTTCATGATAGGCTTGCCGGGTCAGGATTGGAAAAACTCAGAGGGCCGCAGAGAGATGCAGCTGCGGAGAGATACGGAAGATTTTCCTCTCTCCAAATTCTTCACCCCGGATCTTCTATTCCTACTTTAGGACTCCTCGGGTTGCATAAACCAAGAAAAATTAGTCGAGGAAGCCGTGGTTGGCTTAACGCTGGATAAGTGTGTCATGTGCTTTAGGCTGTGTTTCTGGGTGTATCAGCTTTTCGACGGTCAGTGTGTTCATCTGAGTTGGGATGCAGTTCTTGTCATTCGGGAGACACGTCGTGGAAGGGCTACTTTGCTTGACTTCTGAGTTGCTTCAGCTGAGTTAAGCTTTGCTTAACTTCTGAGTTAATTTTGAGTAGGAGCGTACTGAATGATCAGCATTATGGTTCTAGGACAGGAAAGGATATAATAGATCTATAGAATGGTTAAATCAGTGGTAAATTATGCAGAATGTATAGGAGTTGCTAGAATTGTCAATCCAGATGGTGCAATGGATAGAGACGTGAAAGTCTCTGTGTGTTGTCTGTGTGAATTCTTGCATTCACACACACAAGTTAAGGTGCATAAGCTCATTTATGGCTGGATATACATGACACGCTATGCTGTGGTTTGCTTAATTGTGCTTTATTGAATAAATCATAATTGATTGGCTAGACATACCAGACAAAGCCAGCCATGGCCACATAGGTACCTGAAACAGAACATGGGGTGGTGGCCTGGACGTTCACCCACCTCCAAGACACCATTCCTCATCACCTACAACATTTATCACCCACAGTCTCCATCCCCACCCGTAGGGCCAGCACCTCCCACAACATGCCATCTTCACTGAGAGCTGCTTTTCTCCCACCCCCAGAGAAAACAGAACAGTTGCAAATTTCAGTCACCTTCTATGATGGATGGAGGGCAATTGCATGAAATGTTCACTTGGAAGGACCACTCATTAGTTCAAGTTAGCTCCAAAGTGGCTTTCTCTACTTGATGTCCTCCAGCAACTTGGACTTGGGTTCCCATAATTGGCCAGTGACATGTACTTGATCTTAGCCCAAAGGCTGACAAGGAAAACGCCAGTGGCCATTCTTAAGAGTTAAAAATCAGATATGTCAGAAATGTATCAGGTTGGAGAGGTCAAGTGAGCAGCCTGAAACAAATCATCTCATCATCTAGGTGATAGCCTTCCAGAAAAGGTGAAGGCAACAATCACTTCATATCTATTTCTGCAATACTACAACTTAATACAGCTTCACTTCACTTCTAGTGCCCTATAGGGAAGGCTGGCAAGTGAAAATTCTTTTCATCTAGGGCAAAAAAATAAACTAAATGATAGGAGAACCCTGGACATAACTGATTGGAAGATTTATAGCCTGGCTTTCAGTCAGCTGATTCTCAAGGTAGCTGGCAGTGGGTTGTAAGAATACAGTCCATCTACTCCTAAAACAAATACCCTCCAGAGATGCACGATGCAGCAACTATTGGTTCTTTGGCTGATGAATGAGGCTGAGCAAGCATGGCGGAAAGGTATGCTCTTTCTGATAGGTAAAGTGTAGGAGGTGACATCCTTGTCTCATACTTCCTGTTTGACTAAAATGTGGAAGACTTACAGACAATAGAGTCACACATCACACTAAGGCATAAACCATGGTTTCCAAGGACAACAGCTGGACTCACACATATGCCACAATTTATTTACAATTTTCTTTTGGCCCTAAGTTACTATATGGGCTGCAAAATCAGGCCAACCACTAGATGGTGGGAAAGAGTTAAAAGAGTGTTCCCTGTTTCTTTGTGGTCATCTAGTGATCATCCAGATTTTTGCAGCTCAACAGTGATAACTCTAGCTAACCCAAAAACCACACTTTACAAACCAGAGTGCTGGGTTAACTCATTGCAAAAAACCAAACCCAAAACATTTTATGACTCAGACCAATAACCAAATCCAGCCAGTTTCTTTGACATATCTGAGAAGGTCCTAGTGAAGATTAAATGTAAAGGGGCAGAAAAATCCTGGAAAGCAGATCATGAAAGCTTCATTGCTTGAACTAAAGCTTTTCAAGCTGTGCTAAGGGAACTAGAATTTCAAGGGGGAAAAAACAGCAGTTGGTACATGTGGGAAAGCGGGACATTTGACTTTATGAAGTCCTAAAAAAAAAAGTCAGTGGAATCAGTGACAGTATTAATACTCCATTCCTGAACATATTTCCTCCCTCTTCATATTTTGCCTTCATCCTAAATCTACATGGAAGTTCAGATTCAAAATGCAGTTATCATTGGAAATAGACATAGAATCATAGAGTTGGAAGTTAGTTCAACCCTCTGCAGTGAGCTGGAGAACCAATTAAATCATCCATGAGAGATGACCCTTATGTATTTAGATCCAACCACGGAGAGGGGCTAATGGTCTCCAAGAAAAAAAGATCCAAATCAAACTCTGAAAATGTGAAAGAACTAAAGAGTTCATCACCATTTCTACCTGGAAACCTGGATGCATAGATTGCACAAGCTCTCGGTGTTTCACCAATGTGGGAGTGAAGAAATATCTAGTCTGGCTTTGATTTGATTCTCAAATACTGAAGCAAGCAAAAGCAATTTCCATCTTTCCAATTAATTGAATAGCAAAGCAAATCTATACATCCGTGGGATACCCAACAGTGATCTTTAAACGGAAGCCAGATCCTTGCCACGTAGAAAGCGTGATGCCACCCTGGAATAAAAGATACTGAAGGACCCTGGTGTTAAATCCACATTTAGACCTTTTTAACAAAACTACTTGTTCTCCTTAAGTCAGCATTGATATGGCTTGGTTAGTCATGGTTTCCTGACTAAGCTGCAGGTGGCTGGGTTCATACACTGAAGAAAAGCAGGAAAAACACAATATGGCTTACTGCAATGTGAAAATCCAGACAATATCAATACAGTTATACTCATCCTAGGTCAACATAATACTTGATCACATAAGATTTAAGGCTTTAGATACAAATGCAAATTTATAGTGTTTGCAGTAAGATAGTCCTCGCTTAATGCCCACTCATTCAGCAACCATTCAAAGTTACGATGGCACTGAACAATGGGACTTAATGACTAGTCCTCGAAGTTATGAACATTGCAGCACCCTCGCAGTCAGTGAACAAAATTCAGGCCCGCTCGGGCCCACCCACATTTTACGGCTGCCTTTTGGCCACCCGTCTACCCACTGCCACCAGCTGCCCCCACCGCCCAGCCCTGTCCTCCGCCACACCACGCACCACTACTGTACTGGCTAGGGCTTTCTTTGTGCCACCTTCTTTCATGCCAGTGCAGCGGGGCTTCTCCCACACCCTGCCCAGAGCCTCCCTTCTAGCCAGGTCCTTCTTTCATGCCAGCATAGCTGAGGCCATCTTTCACACACTGGGCTTCTTTTGTGAAAGAAGGTCCTGGGCAGGGCACAAACAGAGCCCTGGGTTGGCGTGCAAACTGAGGCCCTGGGCAGGGTGTGAAGAAGGTCCTGGCAATACGGTAGTGTGCTGTGTGGTGGGTACAGTGGTGGCAGGTAGGGCTGGGCAGCTGGCGGCAGCGGGTAGGCAGATGACCAAAAGAGCAGAGATGGGGGGGAAATAGACAGGCAGGAGGACTTCAATGGGAGGCAGTCCTTTACTTTACCAAGTCTCGGGGCTGGGAGGGACCAAGCTGGGAATGGCTTAGATCAGGGCGGGTCCTCACCTAACGACCAGTGGGATTTGGTTAATGATGGCAATGGGGAGTGCCAGGATTGCTATCGCTAAGTGATGTGGTCATGTGATGTCGTGCTTTATGACCACATTGCTTAGCAACAGAAATTCCAGTCCCAATTGTGGTCATTAACAAGGACTACCTGTAACTCCATTTACTTCCTCCTCTGGTTTATTACTGAGACACACACACACACACATTTAACAAGAGAAGGCTTTATAGATTGCACAGTATTTCTGTGCATACAAGTATTTCTGTACTTGTATGCATAATGATGACAGGATTTAGACATTTAAATAGCATGGAAAACTCTTAGCCATTTTTCAGATTAATTTGACACATTTATAAAGGAAACATTACATAAATTGATCATTATGGTTTACTGAACAAGCCATGATTGCCTAGTTCACAACTCCTAAGTTTGGTTCACGTACGGTGGGAAATCATTCTGCTTAATCATGGTTTATTGAATGAAACTGACTTTACACAACATAGAATATCATAACATAGTTTGGTTTGGGTACTTCGTGTGTTTTGTGAACCAAGCCAAATGCCCCTTTGCCTCATATGCCTAGCAAGATTTTATTCTCACCTCCATTTGAGGTTTACAAGATGCTGTATCACACATCAGCTGGTTTCACACCACACATTAGGCTAAGCTAAAATGGTTTAGGTTATGGAAAGTACATTCCCTTAATCAAAACTGACTCTGTTCAATTGATGCTTTAATCCCTAATTTAATTTCATTGGAGGTAACATGCTGTTGTAAACTTGCATAGACTTTATGCCAGTTTCAGTTATAGCAGCTCTCTCTTATAACCCACACATTTAACTGCCAATCACTTTGTCCAAGAATGCAGCAAATTTTTCTGGTTGTCCAGGAGGAAAAGGCTTCAGAGTAGACAAGTCCATTGATCTGAGCATCTCCACAAGGGTCCTATGAAAAGAAAAAAAATCATCATATCCTATCAAAATGATCATGAAATATTTGTTTTCTCACAGTATGTGTTCACTGAACCTGAAACTGTGAGACTTCACACCAGCTATAGGAAGAAATCTCAGGTCTCCAGGAACTCAGCCCCACATTCAATAACAGAAACTTCACAGACGCAGTGTGAAAAGATAAGCTGATTTATTGCAGAAAAGAAAGAAGTCGTGTATACAAAGAACACAGGAATCACCCTCTGCATGGCTTATGCCCATCTATCCTAGCGCTCAAATCCTAGGCCTTTTCTCCCTGTTTTCCAAGCCATTGGACTTTTGGGCTCCTTTTCACAGCCCTGAATGCCTGAGGCCCTTGTTCCATGTTTACATAACAGTTCTTTCTGGCCTGAAAATCCTTGTTCCTGCCTCATCAGCTTCAACAGAAATAGTGCTTTATACCAGGTCTCCACTTGCAAATATCTGGTTCATCAAAATTTTCCATTTGTAAACAGAGACTGTTCTTTATGCCTTTTAGAATAATTCTAAAACAATGTATGCTGTTTATATTTATTTATTTTATTTATTTTCAGACTTGTATGCCGCCCATCTCCCCCAACGGTCTCAACATGATTTTAAAAATAACGCACAGAATACAGTTAAAACATTACCAGTTAGTCAAAAAATCAATTACTCAAGTGTCTAATACCTTCTAGTCATTTTACACTAAACCTGAATTAACAAAACACAATCAGTGTGTTCACATAAACTTCTATCTTTAAATGAAAAAAATCGTACGTTGGCCTAATGTGACAGCCTAGTTTACATAACACACTGAGACCATGGCTAGGATACCACAACACACTGAACCACAAACTCTCCAGCCTCATTTTAGCCTAGCATGTTATACAAACCCAATTCCGGAGACCAGTGGCCCATCATTTTTGCTTTCCCTTCTGGATGTATAATAGCATGTCTGAGAGATGCACAAATGGTTGTCAACTTTAAACCAGTTCTAACACTTTCTCATTTTTCATAACTGCACTACTTCTCAAAAGGCCTTTCACTCCACCATGATGGCAGCATTGCCACCCATTCTCCTTCCCAAGTTCTTCTTTCAACTATCTTGGTTTGTTTGAGGTTCTGTTCATATGGCTGTCGATATACTACCATCTCCCTGCTATTACACTGCTCAGTTCCCATTAGATTGATCTGTTAATTCTGAGATCTTGGTTCAGAACCATTCCTGCATTTTTGTTAACAATATCAGCATTAATCTGTGGCTCAGCTTCATCCAGAACATGGCACATGTCTCTCTAAAATTCTGGCCCTCACTCAGGAGTTAGCTAGAAGACTCATTGCAAGGATAAGTTGCTTTTATTGCAGATACAGTGAAGTTCTGATAATTTCTCAGTTTGATTCGTAGTTTCTCTGCAGAAACTACGAATCAAACAATCTATATGTAACAGCCCCAGGGTTTAAACCAAACCTCTATTTCTCCCGCCCTCACATGATAACAGACTTCTTGCTCATTTCTCAGATTTGAATGTGGAGGCTACTTGCCCCGTGTTTTGATAATGATCTAATATAGTCCCAGGCTTTTTACTTTCAGCTCTGCCAGCTTCAGCCCTCACACCGTGGCACATAGGACTTGGCATCACTTCCAAACAAACTGGCTGTTAGGTTGAAGGAAGTCATCCTGACCTTTTTGAAACATGCACCCATTTCATACTAGCAGTTCAGAAACCAGAAGAGAAGATCATCATAAAATCATCTGTGAGATGATGTAGTGGCAATGTGGAGGACCATTGTTATTTCGAGGAGTTTAGGTGCCATACTTTTATTTCTCCTGCACATATTAAGAAAGCTCACTTTGAATCATAATAATGTTTAGCTGGCTTGTTTTTCGCTTTTATTAAGAAGTGGGGAGGGGGAGGAAAACCCCAGGACTGTTTAGGTTAAGCACTAGATTATCTATATAGGTCCCAGCCTGTTGATTCCTTCAATGAGCCGGTATAACATCTGGTCAAGGTCATGTTCAAAGCCCCCGATTCCAAAACAGAGTCATGGGATTGCAGTGCCAGACTTGACAAAGACCCTGGCATTGCCCCCTGGAATTTGGAGTGTGGACACAGGCCTTGGGACTAGGCACTGGGTTATCTAAACCATCTTGGGCTCTCTCCGCTGTTGCCTCATGGTAGCTTCTGACAGGAGGGGAAGTTTTATCATCTTGCTTGGTAGGTTATGTTTTCATACTATGCTTTTGCATTTCTGTTTAATGCCATCTTCTAATTCTTACATTCCTGTTTAAATCTGTTTACTAGAGTTAACAATACGGCTTAAATTCTCCTCACCTACTGGAATCGGTGTGCTCATTGTCTCTGGATCTGAAAGAACTAAAAAGAGCCACCTGTCTTGCGCCTGGCCAGGGCTTTGACAATTGGCAAAACAGATGATCAGCAGGCAGAAGACGTCCATTCCCAATGAGCAGGGAGATGTACCCGCAAGAGGGCAGATGCCGAAGAAAGTCCAGGAAAGTGCCTGGGGTACCATGGACAGCTCCCAGCTAATAGGCAAAGACAACCAGCCGTTGTCAAGCCCAGATTCAGCTTTTACAGCTCAAAATGCTGGATAACAGATTTAGACAAAGCTGAAAAGCATTTCTCCCCCAAAATGAATGAGAAAATGTCAACAAGCTTCACTTTACCAGTTTGGTTGGGAAATACACATCTTGGCAAGCCGTCATTGAATAAACAAATATTTATATCCTGGTTAGAGTCAGGATTAAGAGTTCGTAAGAGTCTGGTTCTTCATAATGGTGTGGTTCAGGACAAAGAAACTTTGTTAGTGGTTTAGGAGAAGCTTCAGAGGATCTCTGGTTCAAAACTGTTCCCAGAAAGCTGGAAAAACTGGGCATGATAATTATGGCACATAGATATAGGTTTCCTGACCAAACAGGGATGGCAAACAGGGAGTTTTTACATTGGGTTGTTTTTTTTAGAAAATACAGGATCATTATTTGAGTGGAGGTGTCCATGGGGGAGCAAGTAGCAAAAGCAGGATTGGACCGCCATATTGTAAAGTTTGCCTCTTTTACTTGTGAGTCGTGATGTCTCATCACTTGCATCACATCATCGCAACACTGCTTTTGCCATTTTGTAGAACGTGTCGGATTCTGCAGACACTTCCACTCCCAAACCAAGATGGTTCCTTGCTTGCTTGCTTCTGGGGCAATTTCAGTTTTGCACACAAGGGGTTGTTACAGTTGACTGCATTTTTCCACAGTCTCACCAGGACTGCCCAATGGCGTGGCAATGAACTGAATAGAGGGAGCGCTGTGTTTTGTGCGATGCTTCACTAAGAAATAAGGAATTACTTCAGGACAACAGCACCAAAAAGAGCTATCCACCTCTCTCCAAGCTATCCTTGGCAACAAGAAGATTGGAGAACCCACAAAGCAAGTTAACTGCTGCGCCCCTCCATTTATTGACTTAGGAGCTAAGAACCTTTGCACGGCAACCAAGGATGTTATGTAAATCCATACCTGCTAGTGCAGTAAAAGAGATGTCCGTCTCTGTGCAACTGCCTTGCCAATTCCAGCTGATGGTTGTCCATAAGTTTGTCATTGATGACAACCAGGAGAGGTTTCCCAGCTTCCAAAACCTCCAAACAGCTGCCTGCTCCTGTAGCAAAAGCACCAGAAGGCTGGGACCATTCTACTTGAGATAGCAGTGCCTGTCCAGCTAAAATGGATTTGTTGAAACCAAATCTCTTTGGATTTAATATGCAGGCCTCCCTTGTCATGGCCAAAGCTGGGTTCATTCATGAATTGAAGATTAACTACAGAATAGAAGTTTGTAGCACCCCATTCATCCCCACAAGCCTTGGATGTGATCATTCATTCATTCATTCATTCATTCATTCATTCATTCATTCAATAAGTTAAATAAATCAATAAAGGAATCCTTTTGCATTCAAACTGTTGCATTTAGTGTGGCAGAAGGGTGAAATTATTCAATATTCAAGAGATGACCTTACTTACAGTATTAAATTAAGTCAAATTATGTTTTGGTTTTATTCTGGTCCTGCTCATTTCTTTGTTTTAGTCCCAGCCACGTTTTGGAACATGACAGTTAATAGTCAAGGGTGGATCTGGGTTCTAAAATGATTGCATTCTTCTAAGGGAAATTAATACATAAAAGTTGCTCTCTTGCACACCACCTGACCTCTGGGAGGCTTCTAAGTACACATGGATAGGGTACTGTAATGAATAAGCAGATGCTCCAGAGAGCACCACGTTTTTGAAGCTTGCCTTAAAGGCAAATTGGGGGGAAAAAATCTTATTGATCATCAACAGTGACATCCAGTTTGATGTAGTGGTTAAGATGCTGGGAGGCTGTGAGTTCTAGTCTTCCCTTAGGCATGAAAAGTGGGTGACTTTGGGCCACTTGCTTTTTCTCAGCCAAACCCACTTCACAGGAGTTGTCATGAGGAAGAGGAGGGACACATCTTGAGTTGTATAAAATAAAGGCAGGGTATATATCTAGTAAATAAACATGCAGAAATTCATCATAGCAGCGCTATGCCTATTTCTATATATATACCAGCAGTTGGTCTTACATGGGAAAGTTGTACAAATCCATCTCTCAGACTATACCTGGCTTGGCTAATGCTAGAGGAGATGAACTCTTTTCTAACATTTTTAGATTTTGTTTGGGCTTTATTTTACATATAAGGGGAAATGACATCTCAGGTTTAGAACATATTCCTCACCGTTTGTTAGTAGCTGCTCACTGACTGTAAATAAAAGAAAATTTCTACAGCTGTATCGCCCTTGAATGTAAGACATTTTGGTTTTAAGCCCCACCTCCATGTTTGTTTCCAAGAGGGGAGCAACCTACATAAATAAAGGACTTCCAATGGTCCACATTTCCACATATAAAGACAAATTATCCTCCTACATTTTCTTCTTTTCGATGGGGTGAGCAAAGCATGGGCACATTGCCAAAGGAGACTGAAGGGAAACCCAAGATGCTTTACCTGCATGGCTGATGACAAGATCTGCTCTTTCCACATCTTCAGAAAGTGAGTTCTTGAACCTGAACGCTTCCAGGGTGAACGTGGCTGTGCTAAACGAAGCTGGACACTCCTTCCCCCGGCCAACCTGAAGGACAAGTCTGTTATAGCCGAGGTCCTGTAAAGCCTGCAATCAGAAAGGAGTATAAGTTCTCACGGAGGTTAAAAATAAAAACTCATCAGAAACTGCAGAGATGAATGTATTTCTCTCTCCAAGGTGAGAAAGAGGGCATGACATACTATTTACAACTGTGCTTCCACATCCTATTGCGAGAGAAGAAGAATTGTTACTAAGGCAGGGCTTGGTTTTTTGTTTTGGGGAGCTGTCGAGTCGGTGTTGATTCCTGGTGACTGCACGGAGAAATCTGGGCCGTTTTCTTGGCAAGGTTTTTGGAAATGCTTTGCCATTCCGCCTCCTTGCTACGGCTAAGCGGGAGGGACTGGCCCAAAGTCACCCCGCTGGCTTCGTGCCCAAGGCTAGACTAGAACTCACAGTCTCCCAGTTTCTAGCCTGGAGCCTTAACCACTACACCGAACTACCTCTCTTAAGGCAGCATGGTTTCCTCCAAATGTGTTAGATTATAATTTCCACCCGCCTTGCGAAAGGAGTCGGGAGCAGTTGCCGGTAAGCGCAAAAAACCGTGCGCGCCCAAAAAGGGCGCGAAGCAATGGAAACCCCGCCTCCTGCGCTCGGCAGCTGGGCTCTGCTCTAGGAAGGAGGCTCTGGCAAACCACTTCCGAAA